TTTTTTTTTTTTGAGACAGAGTCTCACTATGTTGCCCTGGGTAGAGTGCCATGGCACCACAGCTCACAGCAACCTCTAACTCTTGGGCTTAAGTGATTCTCTGGCCTCAGCCTCCCAAGTAGCTGGGACCACAGGTGCCTGCCACAATGCCTGGCTATTTTTTTTGTTGCAGTTGTCATTGTTGTTTAGCTGGCCCAAGCCAGGTTCAAGCCCACCAGCCTGGGTGTATGTGGCTGGTGCCCTATCCACTGAGCTACAGCCACCCTAGAGACAAGTTCTTGCTATGTTGTTCAGGCTGATCTTGGAACTTCTGGGCTCAAGTGCTTATTCTGCCTTGGCCTCCCAGAATGCTAGGATTATAGGCATGAATGGCGGTGCCCAGCCTATATTTACAGTTTCTGACAAATACCTTGCATATATATTTTTTCCCTACAAATTAATAAGGAAAAGACAGACAACCCAAAAGACTTGGAACAGGCATGTCACAAGAGAATATGCAAATTGCCAATCAACATATTAAAAAGTACTCAACTTCACCGGTCATCAGGGAAATGCAAATGCAATCCATAAGATATCAATATACACCTACCAGGCAATACTAAGTGCTGGTGAAGATGTGAAGCATCTAGAACTCTCAATTTCTGCTTAGTAGTATAAATGGACACAATCACATAGAAAATCTGTTATTATCTACTACAGACAATCATCTATAACCTTATGCCCATATGTGCCTATATATATTCTCAACAGAAATGTATGCACATATGCACCAAAAGACAAATTCAATGGAATGAATGCAATGAGAACTAAACATCTACAACTCCAGGAAGCAATATTGGTGAATCATAAATGCAATGTTGAGTGAAAGAAGACAGACACACAAAAAAGTTGACTCTGCATAAGTCCATTTATAGAAAGTTTTAGACGTAGAAACAAAATGCATCTATGGGATTTAGAAGTCAGGACAGTAGTTGCTCTTTGGGAGAATAATGCCTGAAAGGGATGCTGGTTTCATAGGTGAAAAATCATCTGTGAAAAATCATTGAGATCATTGAACTATACATTATGATTTGTGTAGTTTTCTATAGTGTATTATAGACATCAGTAAAACTTTTTTAAAAAGAGGAAGAGACCAGTCTCCTTAGAGTATAAGAAAAATTAATTTGTAAATCATATACATGATAATGGACCAATATCTAGAATATTAGACAGTCACAACTCAATAGCAACATGATGACCCAATTAAAAATGGACGAAGACGCCAATCAGAAAAGCCTAAATGCTTATATGCTGTATGACTCTCACTATATGACATTCTGAAAAAGGTAAAACTGTAGAGACAATAAAAAGATCAGTAGTTGGATGAGTGGGGAAAAAAAGATATGAAAAATGACTAGGTTGAGGAAAAGAAAATATAATGCAAAATTCTACTCTACACAATATAAGTCACTTCTTGTCTGATATAAAGAGAATAATTAGTTCTTTTAATGCAAATATTTCAAAAATGGAGCAAAAAAATCAATGCATGAAAATCTGTTGCTTAGTTTAAATAATCAACTTCTATCGAAGAGATGTTTAAACATGAAACAAAAACTAGCATGACATTACTTTTTGCATTCAATGTCATTCACTAAATGGTTCCCACTAGCATCCGTGAAGAGCTGAAAGGCCAACCAAATGATGAAAGGCCATTCTTTTGATATTTCATACACGAAAGCGACTCAGGGGGTTACTGCACTCTATTGCTGGCCATTTGGAATCTTAGGCCTGCTGGGGAGTCACAGGTGTCAACTATCACTTGAGAGATTAAGTTGCAAATTGATGTCCCTCCTCTCCTGGACTATCTCCCATATGTATAAATTCCAAAGTCAGCAAATCAATGTACATATTTAAGTCTCTAGTTCATCTTGTTCAAATGTAAATCTTCTTGCATAGTGTATCAGCTACTCAGGTACCTCTGAGTGGAGGAAAACAAAAGCACAGAGCACCAAGTAGATAGTCTGCAGGGATGGGAGGCTGTTTCTTCGCGAGCTACCTCTAACCACAGCTCCCAAGTGATGGCACCAGTTCATGTTCCAGCTTACTTCCCCCTCTTAACTGTAACACCAGGCAAAATAATTCCTCGAATTGTCTTGCAAAAATGGGGGGAAGGTCTAGCCAGCAGAGCTCAAAATAAATGAGCACAGGAGAAGCTGAGGACATTCTAGGAGAGGAAGCAGCTGGTGAACATCTGCTAAGAAAGAGGACATTAAACTCAAGTGTATAAACACAGTTAATTCCAAATAGGCTATAGTTCTGACTTAGCTAGATAACTTCCATAGTACGTGTGTACTCTTCAGAAGTTTGTTTTTAAAAAAGTAACTCAATTCAGTATGAATTTATTAAATTATGATTATATCCATGGTGTTATACTATTTTTAGTCAAAATAATACATGGAGACCAAAAAATCTTTGAAATCATATTGACTTCAAAGTCATACAGCTAGTGTGGCTTGTAGAAGTTACTTAACCTCTCTGAGTCTCAGTTTCTCAATAAAATATAGGTTAAAACAGCATCTATTTCATGGATTCTTATGAGCTACTGTATAAGAATCACACAGAGGAATATCTTTGTAGTTCTCATAAACAGTTAATAAATGATGGTTATTCTATTAAGAAATATTAAGGTGGTCCCCAGCAGTTTTAGAGTTACTTGCTTTGTTCAAATTTGATTCTACCATTTACTAGAAATGTGACCTTAGGAATAAGTAAGTTGTCTCATCTGTAAAGTGGAGACAAGCTAACCTAGATCTTTAGGGTTATTGTGAGGACTAAATGAGACAATTCATATGTAGTGCTTATCAAAATAACTAGTACACGGTAATCACTCCATACATGTTATCTGCTATTGGTAGCGGTAACAGCACAAAGTAGATACCACCAGGCTCCTCCTACAAAAGTTTATATTTTTAGTGGTGAGAAAAGGTACATATATGTATGATCAGGCTACATAGCAGGTCATAATTGAATGGCAAAGTGAGTGATATAAGTAGCATATTCTCACCATTTCAGACAGGAGAGACCAGTAAAGGCTGGAGTAATTAACTATATTTCAGCTTTCTGATTATTCATTTTGTTGAAAATTCAAGCACTAGCCCCCTTCAATGTGGATACTCTTTGTTTTTACCTTTGCAGTGATTTCATCGGGATACCATCATTTCTGGTACTAATAATGATTATTATATTTTAGCAACTTGATTCATTTACATATGCCCACAAGAGCTGTGTTCTGATGTGGACCTGGTCACCCCCTTGGAGTTACAGCCTGTCAACACTGGTTTATTGTAAGTATTTTGAAAGTTCATGATAAGCTAAAACAACTGCACCAAGGAATTTGCCTCCTGAAAGATGCTAGGCTCCTTTAAAAGCCGATATAAAACACTTAGCATCTTTCTCACCTCTAAAACTCAAATGTATAAAGGGCCCGGGCAGGTAGCAAACAAGCGAGTGGTGCAGTCCTCGTGGTCTTGAGGCGCCACCTCATGGACATACACTCTTACAGTACCATGATTTTAAATTTGGGCAAAAAATTCTAATCTAACAAAAGAAGAAACAAAACCCCACTTTGTGGTCTAAACAAAAATGTATGAGGTCCTAGTTTGTGGCCTGTAAAGTAGAACAATGGGACTGATGCCCTGAGGTTATACCACATTCTGGTCAATATCCCATAGTACCTCTATTTGCCATGCTTCACATTAGATTCTGAATAACATAAATGTACATAATCCAGCAAACACTGACTACTCACATTTGAATACTTTAGTTGTCACAAAGCCCAAGAAAATCAAATGGCCTTATCAGAGCCTCTAAGAGTCTGCTTGATCTGATCTCTGCGTACTGCGTTTTTTTTTTTTTTTTTGAGACGGAGCCTCAAGCTATCCCCCTGGGTAGAGTGCCATGGCATCACGCTCACAGCAACCTCCAACTCTTGGGCTCAAGCGAGTCTCCTGCCTCAGCCTCCCAAGTAGCTGGGACCACAGGCGCCCACCACAACGCCTGGCCATTTTTTGGTTGCAGCCATCATTGTTGGCGGACCGGGCTGGGGATTCGAACCCGCCACCTTAGGTATATGTGGCTGGCGCCTTAGCCGCTTGAGCCACAGGCGCCGAGCCTGCATACTGCGTTTAACACATCTTTTCCTACTATATTTTGGCCACATTAGCCTCCTTTCCATTTCCTCACACATGCCAAGCTCATCTTTGACTCAGAGTCTTTGTATTTCTTGTCTCCTCTAACTCCAAAACTTCACATGGCTTGCTCCCGATCACCAATCTAGTCTCATGTCAAATGTCATTCAAGCTCTCTCAGTGACTCTACTACATCACTCCGTTCTATTTTCTTCATAGCACTCATGCTCTGAAATTAGCTTGTTCATTTACATATTTATTTTCTGTTATGTAAACTTCATGAAGGAAAAAAAACTTATCCTTCAGGTGTTATGTTCACTGTCTTATCTCCAACACACAAAACAGTGCTTGGCACATAGAAGATGCTTAATAAAAATGTGTTAAGAAAATGAATGAATGGACGGCTTGAGCCTTGCAGCCAGTACTATCATAAACCCTCAGATCTTCCACCATGCCTTATTTCAAGACAAGAAGCTTCATTATCATTATAAAGTGATAAATGGAAGAGCCATACTTCATTGATATTTCAATGTAAGAAATTTTTTTTAGGGGATTTTTTTTTCTTTTTGAGACAGAGTCTCACTATGTCACCCTTGGTAGAGTGCCATGGCATCACAGCAACCTCAGATTCTTGGGCTTAAGCCATTCTCTTGCCTCAGGCTCCCAAGTAGCTGGGACTACAGACGCCTACGCCAATGCCCAGCTATTTTTTGTTGTAGTTGTCATTATTGTTTAGCAGGCCTGGGCTGGGTTCAAAACCACCAGCCCCAGTGTATGTGGCCGGTGCCTTAACCCCTGAGCAATGGGCACCAAGCCAAGAAATTCAATTAAAAGAGAAACATACAAATAAAAACAATGACCAAAAATTACTTACGTAGAAAACATCACGTCTCTCAGTTTGGCTGTTATTCACTTCTACTTCATAAAATAAGCATCTGCTAATCAAATTCTGTGGATTTTCCCCTTGTATGTATAAGCCATTATTTTGGAAGACGAGACTTTTAATATGTGGAGGATCGGGTTTCACTGAAAGATAGAAATAAAACACAACAAATTAGCTTCCACAGTTCAGTTGATTACACACACACAGAGTCTGCCCTCATGTTGGTGGGTTCTGTGTGCATGCATTCAACCAATTGTGAGTCAATGATACTTAGAAAAATAAACAAATGATTGGAATATTTATAGACATTTTTCCCTGTCATTTTTCCCTAAACGATACAGTATAATAACTCTTAAATAGTATCTACATGGTATTAGGAATTGTAAGTAACCTAGAGATGATTTAAAGTATATGGAAGACGTGCATAAGTTATATACAAATACTGTATCATTTTACATCATGGGCTTGAGTATTTGAAGATTTTGGTATCCTTGGGGTTCTTGGACCCAATCTCCCACAGATACTGAAGGACAACTGTGTATATATGTGTGTGTGTGTGTGTATACAGGGTAGACATAAAATTTCTGTGTAATTTAAATAGTAAACTAATTGATATCTCAATAATAGAGGTTCACGAAGTTAAATCAAAATAGGGCTAATGCTTTTAATGGCCTTATATGATTAGATATATACCTTTAGAATTTCTGACTAACCATAATTAGTAGACAAAGTTTATTAAAATTGCCTAGTAAAATGAACTTAAGGAACATCTTTTGGGTATCTGGCAGATGACATGAACTCTGACCTGCATCTCGTTAGAAAATGACCAGAGTATAATCAGGACATCTAGCTGCATATAGACAATAAGAAAGTGCCTGGGCCACTGGGCCCAGATGTGCGTCTACTTGATGGGTAACCAGATACCAGATATAAGGGGCTTCCCTAGCTAATACTCACTTCTGCCAATTGACCACAATTCATGTTATAATATAAATGCACCTTGAGGACACTATGCTAAGTTATATAAGCTAGTTACAAAAAGACAAATGCTACATGATTCCACTCATGTGAAGTATCTAAAGTATAAAGTCAGATTTATAGAACCAAAAAGTAGAAGAGTACTTGTCAAGGGCTAGGAGGGAGAGGGAATTAATGTTTAATGCACATAGTTTCAATTTTACAGAAAGAAAACTTCTAGAGATCTGTTGCCCAACAAAGTGAATATACTTAACATTACTCAACCGTATAGATACTTAAAATGTTTCTGATGATAAATTAATGTTATATGATTATAATCATAATTAAGAGTAAAACGAATTTTTTAAAATAAAAAGTATTAGCCAGGTCAATTTACGTTTTCAGGAATCAGCTATACTAAGAGCAAGCAACAAAAGATAATGGATAGGTGGCCGGGTGTAGTGGCTAACAACTATAATCCTAGCATTCTGGGAGGTCGAGGTGGAGGATAGCTATAGCTCAGGAATTTGAGACCAGCCTGAGTGAGAGTGACACCCCATCTGTACTTTAAAAAAATAGAAAAACTAGCAGGGCATGATGTTAGGCACCTGTAGTCCCAGGTACTGGGGAGGCTGAGACAAGAGGATTGCCTGAGCCTAAGAGATTGAGGTTGCTGTGAGCTAAGATGATGCCACATCACTCTATCCAAGACAACAGAGTGAGACTCTGTGTCCAAAAAAAGGGGGAGGGGGCTCGGTGCCTGTGGCTCAAGCGGCTAAGGTGCCAACCACATACACCTAAGGTGGCGGGTTCAAATCCCCAGCCCGGGCCCGCCAAACAACAATGATGGCTGCAACCAAAAAATGGCCAGGCGTTGTGGTGGGCGCCTGTGGTCCCAGCTACTTGGGAGGCTGAGGCAGGAGACTCGCTTGAGCCCAGGAGTTGGAGGTTGCTGTGAGCGTGATGCCATGGCACTCTACCCAGGGGGATAGCTTTAGGCTCCATCTCAAAAAAAAAAAAAAAAGGAAAAGATAATGAATAATTAACAGAAAACAACTTGAAGATATTCCTTTTTCCTTTATGTCACTGTTAATATCCAGGGAGAAGAACAGCAAAATAAACCTTATACTCTGCTAAATAAGAGGGAAAAGAGAAGGGCTTTGCTTTAGTTTTCCCACTTGGCAAATTAGCCCAACCTACTCCCTTGGACTACAAACTAAGCTACTTTGGTCCACTATTAGAATTCACTTCCATGATGATGTGAAGGTGTGGTAAACAGTGTTCTGTTTACAGACTTGGGAGCCTTTTCGATTGATGGCTATTTGCCCATAAATCATCTTAGCCAGAGTCTGAGTTCCCTGTTGGGATATTATACCAAATAAATCATTATGCTTATGGCATTTTGCTTTAGAGATTTGAAAAACACTTTTATACACATTATATCATTTACACCTTATGACAATGCTTGAGGCCAAGAAGGACTACATATTCCATTTCACCAATAAGAAAATACTTGAGGATAGTTTATATGCCTTATCCAAAATGTAGAAGTTAGAACTTCAGTCAGATATTTTGTGTTCAAGTTTAAATCTCTTTCTAAGGAGGCCAACATGAAGCTGATACATCCAGATATGACCATATTGGTTGTTAGGATGGATCAGTACTCACACCATACAGTGTTAAATATGTTTAGTATCATACCTGATTATACTACTTCAATCTAAGCTTTTTCAAAGGAAGAATTAGATTATTCAGGAACTGCATATGATCACATAAGCATTACCCTCTCAAGAATCATAACTAAAAAGAGAATAGATCTCAGAGTCAGCCTGTGTTCTGGCTACAAACGTTTGCCCCCTCCAAAACTCATGTTGAAACTTAATCCCCAATGTGGTAATACCAGGTGAGGCTCTGAAAGGTGACTGGAGTTTTATGGGTTAATGGATTGATGGTTTATCATGGGAGTGGGACTGGTGGGTTTATAAAAGGAAGAGAGAGACTTAAGCTAGCACACTCGGCTTCCTCGCCATGTGATTCCCTGTATTCCCTTGGGACTCCACAGAAAGTTCCCACCAGTAAGAAAGCCGTTACCAGATTTGGCCCCTTGACCTTGGACTCCTCAGCCTCAAGAACTGTAAGAAATAAATCCCTTCCTTTTTCCTTTTTTTTTTAATAGAAACAAAGTCTTACTCTGTTGCCTAGTCTAGAATCTTAAACTCCTGGGCTCAAAGGATTCTTCCACCTCAGCCTCCCAAGTAGCTAGAACTATAGGCATGTGCCATCATGCCTGGACTCCTTTTCTTTATAAATTACCCAGAATCAGAGATTCTGTTGTAAGCAACGGATGAATTGTTGAAATTACTAGAGTCCTGAGTATTTCCTCTTCTGTGTAAAAAAGCATAAAAGTTTTATGCTACTAAAGAAAATGGACTAATAAAACTCTAATCTTCGTTCTACAACTAAGTCCTCTAAGTCTCAGCACATCCTAAATAAACAAGAATAAGGATAAAGCACTTGGCACATGTGTTCAATAAATATTAGAATTTCCAAGCTTATGTCTTTAAAAAGAATCAGAAAAAGTATACATAAATATTGAATAGTCCCTTGTTTTGGTAAGATCTTGAGACCAAACCATCATTCTTTATTATGTTTATTGGTTGTTCAAAAGAACCCTTTTTACCCACGTCGTCAAAATAGACTTCTAAAAACTTACCATGAGAAGTTAAAGGCACTATATTGAAGGATGGTCTAATTTTTCCTGCATTATCCTTGACCACTATTTGGACACTGGGTTGTTCAAAAGTATAATCCTTCACTTTAGTCAGATCAAAGGAACAACTAATGTGTTGACCTTCTCTATAGATGTCTTCACACTGAAGAATCTTTCCCAGGCTTCTGTGCCTACAAGAGAAAATGAGACAACCTTCTGTACTATTTTTATCAAAGTATTCAGTAAACAATGGCAATTTTTTTTTTTAATGACTGAAGGAGATGTCCATGAAAAGAAATATTTGCAATAAGACAAGATTGCTTTTTTTAAAAACCCATTTGTAGGAGATAGGATCCCTTTGCTCAAGACATGGCAGTTCGCCTCAACGTGCTCCCTCTGGAGACTATTTCTGAGAAGCATTTCCTTGAGGATCTGAGCTTCTACACCTGCCTATTGATGTGCAGGAATGCGTAGAGTGACTCTCCCTAGGGGGTGTGGAGAAACAGCTGAGGTGTTAGCTGGGGGTGGACAGACCGGTCTTGGAGCATTGGGTTCTATTCTCTGCCTTTCTCCTTCATTAGCATTATAATGTGTAACTTTACCTTGGGCAAGCGAGGACTGACAACCAGGCTCCAAAATGTTTTACTCTAAACAAAATCAATTGTATATGCGTTCCTCAGCCTTCACACTAAATTGTAATCTTAAATGGTTGCTTCTTCATGTTACTTGACTTCTTTGTATATGTGTTAAATTCTTACTAAATGATGGAAAGTATATAAGATAATCAGTAAAGTTTAGTGGGGCCGCCGACCAGAGCGAGTCCCGGTCTCCCTTAAAGATTCATTCCGTCTGCAGTTCTTTCCCCTGCGTCACCGGATCAGAAGCTCCAAGGAACACACAACAACACCCATTTTAAAATATAGCTCATTTCATACACCAAGCAGAAAAGACTATTCCTTCTTGATGAACATGGGTACTGTCAGTGGCTATGGAAATTACTAGAGTCCTAAGTATTTCCTCTTCTGTGCAAAAGAAGGTGTTCTGAGACCAAGAGGAGAAGTTTTATGCCTCTTGAAAACGCCCATCTGCTGAATTCATTCCATAGTTCCTAGCTGGCACCTCTGCCTGCTCCTTCCTTGTTTGCTCAGCTTGTTCCTTTCCCTCGTCTTCTGTTTGTGGAGCAGAGCGCTCACACTCACATTCATCTCTGTTTCTGACACTTGCTCACCTCTAGTTTATCACTCCCAACCCTTGACCATAATTTCTATGCTGGGGATTCCTAGTCCTGATTTCTTACCTCAGAGCTAGCCCCAGACCTCCGTCTGCTCTATTTGAACTTTCTACTCTTGCCTCAAATTTGGTGTCCAAAATTTATTATGCACCTTCTTTTCTACTGAACTGCTTATTCCAGCCTTCCCATTTGTATCAGTTACAGCTCATTTTCTCCAGGCTCCTAGATTTAGATACTTTGAAATCACCTTTTCCCCCTGTATTCTATCACCAAATTCTGTTCTTTCTTCCTTTGTAAAGTTTCTTGGATCCTTGCCTTCTATGCTATTCCCATTGCCCACACCTTGATTCACACCCTAATCACTTGTGGCTTCATTTCTTCTCCAGACTGACCTTCCTGACCTTCATTATTAATGCTCTCCAATCGGCTCGGTGCCTGTGGCTCAAGCGGCTAAGGCGCCAGCCACATACACCTAAGGTGGCAGGTTCGAATCCAGCCCAGGCCCGCCAAACAACAATAATGGCTGCAACCAAAAAACAGCCAGGCATTGTGGTGGGCGCCTATAATCCCAGCTACTTGGGAGGCTGAGGCAAGAGACTCGCTTGAGCCCAGGAGTTGGAGGTTGCTGTGAGCAGTGAAGCCAGGGTACTCTACCCAGGGGCTCAGCTTGAGGCTCTGTTTCAAAAAAAAAAAAAAGAAAAAAGAAAAAAAATGCTCTCCAATCACTGCCACATCAATCTTCCAAAACACAATGACTTTCTAAGTGTCTTCCTTTAATGTGTGGCTTTAAATACCTCATGTAAGTAGTACTGCTGGTATCTTATTTCCCATTTCTCATCTATATATACCTCCCCCCAGTAATCATCAGCATCTAGCCCCATGCAAATAGACAGAATGTGTTCACTACACTTTTTGGCCTGTCTCCACCTAGGCTAGCAGAGAACTCTGTTTTTAGTAACTGGCAGAATACACTGCATCAAACCTTATCTTACTGTTCACAATGGAAATTGTGCACAGGTTCTGCAGAAAAGGAAGATAAACTTAAAATAATGAACTAAGAGTAAAAAGTCCTAAGCCCTTGAACTGTTACTTCAGAATCCTCTGTATCAATGTAAAATGTATATTTTTCTAACTCTCTCCCAGAGAATCTGACTTAGAAGGCTTTTTCAGGGCCTAGGAACCAGAATTCTGAAAGTGCCGCTCCAGGGGATCCTGCCACTAATCAGTTAAAAAAAAAAAAAAAGGCTTAGCACCTGTAGCACAGTGGTTACAGTGCTGGCCACATGCACTGAGGCTGGCAGGTTCAAATCCAGCCCAGGCCAGCTAAACAACAATGACAACTGCAACAAAAAATAGGGCATTATGGCAGGTACCTATAGTCCCAGCTACTTGGGAGGCTTAGGCAAGAGAATTGCTCAAGCCCAAGAGTTTGACGTTGCTGTGAGTTGTGATGCCATAGCACTCTACCCAGAGCAACATAGTGAGACTCTGTCTTAAAAAAAAAAAAAAAAGAAAGAAAAAAACACCTCAGGCTAGGCACAGTGGCTCACACCTGTAATCCTAGCACTCTATGAGGCTGAGGTGGATGGATGGCTTGAGCTCATGAGATTGAGACCAGCCTGAGCAACATCGAGACTTTGTCTTTACTAAAAATATAAAAACTGAGGCAAAAGGATTGCTTAAGCCCAAGAGTTGGAGGTTGTTGTGAGCTATGATGCTCGGGCACTCTACCCAGGGTGACAGCTTAAGATTCTGTCTCAAACAAACAAAAACCCTCAGAGCTAATATATTTACTTTCAAAGGCTGTGCAAAAAGATTTTTCAATATGGAAAATGCTCTCTTCCTCCAAAAGGTAGTATATAAGCTTTTCCTCCTTGTTGGAGGCCCCTGTAGTTTATAAGAGAAAATAATGTTTTAAAAATTAAGTTATTGTCATGAGTACTTTTTGGATTAGACAATTCTGGAATGCTTTCTGCCCATGGCCAGAAAGAGAAACTAGAGAAAGTTATGACATGTTTCTTACATAACTAACAAAAACCATGTATAAAATTATTTTTTTAAATGAAAGGAACTCCTCTAACAGGTAATCTTTTAGATCCTTTCTTTCATTTTTATAACCCGAGTATTTCAATATGGCCTCTAGAAATAAAATGTTAAAACCAATTACATTTGGTTATAATTTAGAGATAATAATGGCAAAATACCAGCTCTGGATAGACATATTTTTGGACTTCTTGTGAAAGACTTAGAGATAAGCGAAGATAGCAGGTGATTCCTGTTAAAATTTACACACTGAATTCCTCTTCAGAATCACATTGCAGACATGAGGAGGAAATGGATAAATTAAAGACTATTTCCTCAAGTCTGAAGATGATTAATGTGGTAAGAAAAATTCCCGAAAATTAATTGGCATGGCTAGTCTGTGGCTACTCAGGTCAGGCTCCTTTCAATGCCAGACTATCCCTGCAGGGACACAAGTCACTGCCCTGTGGCTTTAAGGAATTACTTTGAATTCAAAAAATGACTCCACATTTTCTAGGCAGGGATCAGGGAAAACAGTCTTTGGCAGTTTGTTTGATGTCATTTATACTAGTACCTAAACCATTTCTGGGTGGCTCAGTAGTAGTACTGTGTCCTAACTCCCTTTTGTGGTTTTGAATGGAAGGATCTAGCTAGGGGAAAAGGGGGAAAAGAAGGTATGGGTGAATACAAGTGGGGGAATAGGCCAGCACTGTGTGCTGACGACATGTGCAAGCCAATGAGGATGAATAATAATAAAAAAAATAATGACAGCTATCAGATGTTAAGTGTTTACTCTATACATACTAGCAGTGGCAGCTTCAAATACTTTTCATACAGTAACAGCCCTCACAGCAACCTTAAGAAGGAGATACTATTATTACTATCTCCATTTTACAGATTACAAACCTGAGGCTCAGAGAGAAGGAACTTACCCAAAATCACACTGCAGTAAGGAAGAGAACCAGGATTTTGAACCCAAGAAGTATGGCCAGAAAGAATAAGATTCAAGGTGCTAAGGGCAAGAGATAGAATCTGTGCCACCTATACCAGTGGTTCTCAACCTTCCTAATGCTGCTATGTATTTTCATTGTTACAAAGGGGTTGCGACTCACAGGTTGAGAACCGCTGATCTATACCACTCAACAGAACTTTCTGGGATTATGGAAATGTTGCACATCTGTGCTGTCTAATACAAGAGCCACTAGTCACCCGTGAAATTGGCTAGTAAGACTGAGCAACTTCAGTTTGAATTTGACCTAATTTTAAATAGTTTTGATTTAATGTAAATAGCCGCGTGTAGCTGGTGGCTCTTGCATTGGATAGTGTCCACTACAGAAAGCACACTTGCTGGTGGTACAGCTCTGGGCGAGTGCATAACAAGAAAAGGAGCTTTGATTACCTCCCCCCCCCCTTGGATGCCAGTGAACTGCCACTCTCTTGGAATTGCCTCTTGAGCCACCTCCATTGGTTATACAGACAAAAAGACATCAGCTAGGGGCTGAAAGGCTGCCTAAGCACCATCTGCTATTGGCTTTGGCAAAATCCTGTATGGGCCCAGAGGAAGAGGAATGTTTTTGAATTTGTTGGTCTAGTTTTGTTGTATTTGTTTTTTTGAGAAAGAGTTGTACTCTGTCACCCCAGCTAGAGAGCCTTGGTGTCAGCATAGTTCACAGCAACTTCAAAGTCCTGGGCTCAAGCCATCCTCCTGCCTCAGCCTCCTGAGTAGTTAGGACTACATGTGCCTGCCACAATGCCTGGCTAGTTTTTCTACTTCTAGTAGAGATGAGGTCTTGCTCTTGCTCAGGCTGGTCTTGAACTCCTGAGTTCAAATGATCCTCTTGCCTTAGCCTCTCAGAATGAGCTACCACACCACACTGTTGGGCCAGATTTTTGTAATTCATTCACCCAGAGGGAACACTCTTTCTACGGTTTTCAATGAGACTTGGTTTGTGCTAGTATATCCCCAAGGCACTTCTCTATTTGTCTTATAACAACTCAAAGGACTAGGCTACCATCTATCTCCAGTACCATCCCCACACACTAGTAGCTAGGTTACTTCCCTACGTAGTCTGCCATGGAATGAGATAATTTTAAGACTTCCCTTCTTTTCCTATGCCTTACATAGACTCTCTCTCTCTCTCTCTTTTTTTTTTTTTTGAGACAGAGTTTCACTATGTTACCCTTGGTAGAGTGCTATGGCCTCACAGCTCACAGCAACCTCAAACTCTTGGGCTTAAGCTATTCTCTTGCCTCAGACTCCCGAGTAGCTGGGACTACAGGCACCTGCCCCAACGCCCAGGTTTTGGTTGCAGTTGTCATAGTTGTTTAGCAGGCCCAGGCCGGGTTTGAACCTGCCAGCTTGGGTGTATGTGGCCAGCACTCTATTCACTGAGCTACGGGCGCCGAGCCACACAGACTTCTTATCCAGACTCTTTAAAGGTTTTCCCTATGGCTCTACCAATAATGACTCCAGGTAATAAACACAGGGATCATACAAACTCACAAGACATTTTAAAAGCCTGAGTAACAGCTCTCCCTAACCTTTACTGCAACATCAACAGAGCCAGACTACTCCTTGTATGGCTTAGTTGTTTGGCCCCTTTACTAGCTATTTGTCAGGGAGCCACATCTACTCAAATGCTTCTCTCTTTTTATTCCTCAACTATAATGCTACTCAGTTACTACTAAGTCCTTACCCTAACCCTGAATGTTCTCTAGCTTTGGGTCCTACACCAAACATTCACAACTTATTTATGAAACACCTACCACGTGACAGGCACCATGGGAAACAACACACAGCCCCTGCTCTCAAGGGAGATTGCAGCCTGTGACAGGCCACTACCAAGTAAACAGGAAATGACAACACAATGTGCTGAGTACTATGACATGGGAAAGCGTAAGGTGCCATGTCTAGACTTGAGAGGGCAAGGGTTTCTGGAGAGGAAATGGTGTCCAAGCTAAGGACAAATAAGAGGTGAAAAGGAAAGGCCTGGGCTACAAGAGGATGCAGAATGTTTCCACTATTCTGTTGGAATATTCTGTTTGAATCCCAGCATTCTGCTGGAGTGTTTCAAGAGTCAGTTTGAAAAACCAAAAGAATTTCAGTGTGGGTGTGGCACCTTAAAGGAGTAGGGCACTGGCCCCATATACCACCACGGTGGCAGGTTCAAACCTGGCCCCAGCCAAAAGCTGCAAAAAAAAAAAAAAAAAGCATTTCAGTGTGGGACAGTAGGCTGCAAGAAGGGCAAGGGTACATGAAGGCAGATGTGATGGAGGCTGGAGAATTTGACAGGGGCCAAGTCATAAAGGGCTCTGTCGAGCTGAAGAGTTTGGACTTTAATCTGAAGCCACCAGAGAACCACTGAGGAGTTTTAAATGAAGGAGAAACAACAGGTACCAAGAATGAGCAACTGAAACTATGAAACCTCAAATGGAAATTATTTACATCCAATGGTGTAAATGGCTGGTGGGGGACAAACCTCCAGACAGAACCACATAATCTCAGTGCCATCTGGCTTCACCTGCAGGTCCTCTCAACTATGCCAGGAGGACACTTCCACCAGGGAGGAGGGTCAATGTGAACCCCTCCTCACTTTGGAGGTTTTCATTCAAAACTTAATGTGATTTTTTTGCACTCTATTCCATGATACAGCCATCAGTGTTTTGATGTACCAAAACTACTTTCAACCCAGTCATCAGGCAAAATAGGGACTCTAGGATGAAAGGCTGTGTTTATCCCATAGTTTCAGAAGTCCTGGACATGACTCTTCCCATCCCATTCTCTCAGAAGCAGCCTTAACAAATGCTACTAAGGGGGACACGGCCACATAGAGGGCAGACTTCTAATGCCAGGTCTTTCCTTCTCTGTCTGGTATCATACTGACTAAATATCTCCATTCCTTGGAACAATCTCCCCCAGAGGCCAGCCTCTAAGAAACTCCCTCATGTGGTCAGTCTTCTCCCTTCATCGAAGCCTGCCAGCCTCCCCACCATCCCTACCACCACCTTGAGCTCCTCCCTTGCTTCCCACAGGAGTCTATCCCTCTGCAATAGCCTTCAGCACACCCCGTCTTATTTTATTATGAGTAACCACACTAGGCACTATCCCTCCCTCTATATTTTAACACATTAACTGCCATGTGAGTTGTATTTAACTTACGCTAGTTTTGAGCCCAGGACCTCGTGTAGTATATATAACTCACATGTCTCTTGGCCTAATAAGACACTGTGGCCCCAAGGAAAAACTTTTTTTTTCCTCATACGGCAGCCAGTGTGTTAAGCTTTAAGAGCAAAAAGACATGTTTCTTGTCTCTGCTGCTGATTTAGTGCTTTATCCACACAGGATGCTAAATAAACATTTGCTGAATTGAACTGGATTAACTTGACTCATTCTTTCTTCCTTGTTATGTTGCTAGTAATTCTAGGCTTTAAGGAAAGGAAATGATTGAAGACTAACTTAGAAATTTAACAAAGTTTGTAGTAGGTATAGTGACAAATATCAAACACCAAAGTATCAAATACCAAAATATCACTTATTTTGTGGGACACTAAACTAGTTTTTGACCCTAGGCATAGCATCATTCCCTTTTTTTTTTTTTTTGGAAACTGCCTGTCGCTCACTCACATGGGCTATGGGCCACTGCCTTAGCCTAGCCCATGGCAACTAAAACTCCCGGGCTCATGCTATCATCCGCCTTAGCCTCCTGAGTAGCTGGGACAACAGGTACCTGCCACCACCCCCAGCTAATTTTTCTATTTTAGTAGAGACAGGGTCTCGCTTTGCTCAGGCTAGTCCTGAACTCATAACCTCAAGCTATACTCCTGCCTTGGCCTCCCAGAATGCTAGGATTATAGGCCACCACGCCCAGCCCATTATTGCCTTTATAAAAAGTAAATAATAACTCGTACATTGTTGATGGGAATGTAAGATAGTCCAACTGTTCTAGAAAATAGTTTGACTTTTTTTTTTATAAAACTAAATATGCAGTTACAATATGACCCATCGATTTTACTCTTGGGCATTTATTATACAGAAATGAAAAGTTATTTTCACATAAGAAACCTGTATATTAATATTTATAGCAGCTTCATTCATGGTAGCAAAACAATAACAACCCTGGAAACAAAGATCCCCTTTAATGAATGAATGGTTAAATAAACTGGTACATCCACATCACGGACTACTACTCAGCAATATAGAGAAATGAACTCTTTGTTGTTTTAGGTTTTTTTTTTTTTTTTTTTTTTTGAGATGGAGTCTCACTTTGTCCCCCTGGGTAGAGTGTCGTGGTATCATCATAGCTCACAGTAACTTCAGTCTCTTAGGCTCCAGTGAGTCTCTTGCCTCAGCCTCCTGAGTACCTGATACTACTAGCCACAATACCCAGCTAGTTTTTCTGTTTTTAGTAGATATGGGGTCTTGCCCTTACGCAGGCTGGTCTCAAACTCCTGAGCTCAAGCAATCTACTGGCCTTGGTCTCCCAAAGTGAGCCACTGCACCCTGCCATGAACTCTTGATAGGTACAAGTTGTATAGAACTTGTAACTATGATACCAACTCAAACTGATTCACCATGACTTAAGTTGCTACAGATGGTGCAGAGCCAAAAATCACAAGTCATGTAGCTGGAGTATACACAGTGAGAAAGGGTTTTAAATCCCTAAATAATAAACACCACAAGCCTGACTGTGATTTGCGTCACCTGGGACTAGTTAGAAATGGCATAAAAGCTGGAACCACCCCAAGATCAAGGAGACAGATTTGAGCATTGGCTCTTGTATGCTTGACAGTGACTTGCAATAAAGCTTTTTCTTTTCTCAAAAGCTAGTGTCATACTACTGGCTTCTGTGCACATCAGGAAGTCAGCATGTTGCTCCCGAAACAATCTCAAGGGCATTATGCTGAGTAAAAAAGAAAAGCCAGTCTTTAGTGGTTATTTACTGTAGGATTCCATTGTAGTAACATTATTGCAATGAAAAAAAAATATAAAGATGGAAAACAGGTTAGAAACTTGGGGGAAAGGAGTGAGAGAGAGGTGGGGTACAGAAGGGAGGTGGGTGTGGCAATAAAAGGGCAACTGCAAAGATACTTGTGGTGATAGAACCATTCTGTGTCTTCACAAGAGAAAACATTACATACAACTACACACACGGGTACATGTCAAACTGGTGAAATATGAATAAGCTTAGTGGATTGTACCTATGACAATTTTCTGGTTTATGATATTGTACTACAGTTGCACAAGATGTCACCACTTGGAGAAATCGGGTAAACAGTATACGGGATCTTCCTGCACACTGTTTTTTTGCAATATAAGTTCTGTGGGTCTATATTTTTTTAATTTTTTATTATTGTTTCAGGTTAATTTCAGGGTACAAAGAATTAGTTTACAATGTTTGCATTTATTAGGTAGACTCCCTCTTATAATTGTTGTGGGTCTACATTTTAAAATATAATTTTTTTAAGTAGACACCAAAGCAGATGCATTTTTTCCCCTGAAGAAATTGCCCATCTTCTTAAATCTGCAGAGAATAGACTGGTTTTTTTTTAAACTAGATTGGAGCCAAAGGCTCCTAACACAATCACAATTAGTATTCCAATAACTCTACTGCACGTACTCACCAATAGTAGAAAGTATAGTTAGTGTCAGGACTTGTATTCTTGCCAGGGAGCCAAGAGCATTTCATATATCTCAGGTTGTGCCAAACACATTGGAGCTCAGTCACAGCTGTCTCAGGATCACCTGGAAAATCCAAGCCAAAAGTTTAGTACCTTTCTTTCCTTGTAATGCAAACCACCCAACTGCTCTGTGAAATGGGGGATGGTGAAGGTGTTTAACAGTGCTTTCCCAGAAAGCTAACCCCTAATCTCTCACCCCATTTTACCCAGACATCACCCAGGAAGGAGAAAATCCAAATCTAATTTGTTCACAACTTTCTCTCTCACATCCTGATACAAAGAAATTATTTCTGGGAGGGTGCAGGGTGGCTTACACCTGTAACCCCAGAACTCTGAGAGGCTGATGCAGGATTTCTTGAGCTCAGGAGTTTGAGACTAGCTTGAGCAAAGCAAGACCTAGTCTCTACTAAAAATAGAAAACTTAGCATGGTGTAGTGGCATGCACCTGTGGTTCCAGCTACTTAGGAGGCTGAGACAAAAGAATTGCTTGGGGGCTGCACCTGTGGCTCAGTGAGTGGGGTGGTGGCCCCATATACCAAGGGTGGCGGGTTCAAACCTGGCCCCGGCCAAACTGCAAAAAAAAAAAGAATTGCTTGAGCCCAAGAGTTTGAGGCTGTGAGCTATGAAAGCATGGCATTCAACCTCAGGGCAAATGAGTCAGATTCTGTCTCAAAAAAAAAAAAAAAAAGATGAAGAAGAAAAGAAAAAAGAAAACATCTGTGAGGGACCCTAGCTCTTATTCCACAGGCAATGACTACATTCCTAAATGAGTACAGAAATACAAACTACCCCTATATCTAGCAGTCACAAAAAAAAAATAAACTTTATTGTGGTATAATTTACCTTCCTATCTTTTGATCAATACTGACACAACTTGCTGGGCACGGTGGCTCATGCCTGTAATCCCAGCACTTTGGGAGGCCAAGGCAGGAGGACTGCTTGAGCATAGGGGTTCGAGACCAGCCTGAGCAAGAGCGAGACCCCACTCCTACTAAAAATACAAAAATTAGCTGAGCATTGTGGTAGGCACCTGTAGTCCCAGCTACTCAGGAAGCTGAAGCAAGACGATTGCTTGGCACAAGAGTTTGAGGTTGCTGTGACCTATGACGCCCTGCCCTGGCACTCTACCCAGGGCAACAAAGTGAGACTCTGTCTCAAAAAAAAAATACTGACACATCTTGTTTTAAAAAAATTAAACATTCTGGGAAAACAATTCTGGGAAAAGGGAAGTATAACTTAACCCTCAGTAGTTACCTGTTGTGTGCAATGACTTTAGGTGTCCTATAATCTTTCTGAGCTGAAATTGCTATTTTTATAAAGCTATTTTAGTTAAGGTATCATGTCTTCAAATGCCTCTGTTTAAAATGTCAACCTGCTATTCCCCACATGATTCTTTTTTTCTTTTCAGTTTTTTTGGCTGGGGATGGGTTTGGACCCACCACCTCCGGCATATGTGGCCGGCGCCCTACTCCTTTGAGCCACAGGCACCACCCACCCCCAATGATTTTTGAAGAGGTATGTTACTGAGCCATCATCAACCATTGTATGCCATGGTATATTTTAGTTTATTTTTCATATTATTAAATTCCTAAAGAAATGAGAATAGGGTAGGTAAGTTGTTTTAAACCATGCTCCAAGCCCCCAGGCAGTCCTGGATTTTACACATGTACTTTTATAAATAGTACTCTATATGTTTGTGGTCAGTGGAAAGTAGATAGAGAGAATGTAGTGCTAATGTTTAGAGGTTGGAGATGGGGCTTTGCCCTCCACAGCCAAGGAACAATATAATATTAATAGATAATATGTATACAGGATTTACTCTTTGCTAGGCACTGTTCTGATCCCCTCACATATACTGGCTTATGTAATCTAACAACCATAGGAGGTAGATACCATCATAATCTCCATCTTATAGATAAGGACACTGAGGTGCAGAGGGGCTAAATAATCTGCCCAAGGTCATTCAATTAACAGCTGACAGAGCTGGGATTTAAACTTAGACAGTTGTTCTCTGGTACCTTTGCTCTTAATAAGTATATGCTATTCCCTATATCCAAAAGCCAGAAAGATATTGGGTGAGCTGGGATTGGGGGACAAAAATTAACCTATCTGACAGCTTTTCCTAGGGCTAGACTAGTACTGGAGCAGGGCCACATGCCTACTTCTCCTGTTTTAACATCTTTCCCCAAATATATCCTGCATATTGAACTAATCTTCACATCTAATAAGTAACATAGTATTTTGGTTTTTCTAAAGCACTGTACCTAGAATGTGAAGACCTATAGCAAGTCACTCAGTTCCTTCTTTCTCATAAAATGGATCAGGGTAATAACATAAGCTTTACTCTGCAAGATAAGCTTGTGAGGCTTGATTTAGGGGAGAGGTGTGTGTGTGGGGGGTGTGTGTGTGTGTGTGTGTGTGTGTTTAACTATCAGGAATTATTACTCACCTTGCTTGTGAGCACCTTGAAGACAGAGATAGCCTCTGTTTTCATTGTATTGCCAGCACCCAATATAGTGCCTGGCACTTATTAGACTTGGCAAGTGTTTGAGAACTGAATTAATTAATGAACAATGAACAGAAGCATGTAGAGCCTTTAGATTCATTCTCTAAACCAGAAAGAGAAAGTGCTTTCAGTTGTTACCTTCAGGGGGTGAAGTACACTTTTCCACCAAAGTGCTAGGCATCTCACTTTCATTGGTGCTACACTGGGTCCCCACATGCAGACAAATCTTCTCATTAAGGGGCACTTCTTTTGAACGATGAGTTTCTGGAGCAATTTTCTAAGGATAGGGAATTAAAAGACACACAAAAATACATGTAAATAATAAAATATTAGTATGCCCAAGTGTGTGAAAAATGGTAAGTTATCAAATGGTGTAGGTAAGTAATTGTTAACTAGAGGTGACTTTGTTCCCCCTGCCACCCTCAGGGACATTTGCTAATATTTAGGGACATTTTTGGCTGTCCAAACTTGAGATAGGGATGCCCCTGGCATCTCGTGGGTAGTGGTCAGGGACGCTGCAGAACATCCTACATCACATAGGACAAGTACTTCCTCCTACTACAAATCCTTCACCAGATGTCAGCAGTGCCATGGTTGACAAACCCTGGTATAGATAAAATACAATTTCCAACAATGTAAACGTCGTGAAATTGACCTATAAACCTACCACACCAACGTATCAACTGTCTAAAAGCAATTTTAAAGCAAACAATATGATTATCAAAATTCAATTCTAAGATGATGCAGTATAACATCAGGATCAAGGTAAAAAAAAGATTGCTTTAAAAATCTAGTAATCAGGCTCAGCACCTGTAGCACAGTGGTTACGGCACCAGCCACATGCACCAAGGTTGGCAGGTTCGAACCCGGCCCAGGCCAGCTAAACAACAAAGACAACTGCAACAACAACAAAAAAATAGCTAGGCAGGGCAGCACCTGTAACTCAAAGGAGTGAGACGCTGGCCCCATATGCCAGAGGTGGCACATTCAAACCCAGCCCCGGCCAAAAACTGCAAAAAAAAAAAAAAGCCAGGTGTTGTGGCAGGCACCTATAGTCCCAGCTACTTGGGAGGTTGGGGCAAGAAAATCGCTTAAGCCCAAGAGTTGGAGGTTGCTGTGAGCTGTGATGCCACAGCACTCTACGGAGGGCATAGTAAAACTCTGTCTCAAAAAAAAATCTAGTAATCATGGTTACTTCTAGGAAGTAGAAATAGAAGTGGTACCTACAAAGGGAAACTTTTCATTAAACCCTTCTCTATACTATTGGACTATTTTGACTATCTCAAACACAGTATAAATTTCAAGGGTTGGTTGGCTAGGCCCGGTGACTTATGTCCGTAATCCTAGCACTCTGGGCGGAGGAGGCAGAAGGATCCCTTGAGCTCAGGAATTCAAGACCGGCCTCACCAAAAGTGAGACTTCATCTCTAATAAAAATAGAAAAAATTAGCCAGGCATTGTGGTGGGTGCCTACAGTCCCATGGCACTCTGGCCTGAGCAACAGAGTGAGACACTGTCACTAAATACACTAATTAATTAATTAATTCAAGGGTTGCTATATGTGCTGAGTATGTACACTCTTATTGTCAAAAGTAGATAAGCATTATGGAACCAGAGGAAGCTAACTTATAGATATCATACAGACATAAATCACCAATCTGGTTATTATAATTTAGAATAATGTGATTAAATGGCTCTCTAAGAAACTAACATTTCCCAAATTGACAGACTTGGAATAATTAAGAATGGAGCTGCTTTTAATCAGAGCTCCAAGTAGAGAACTTCCTGTTTTGCAATAGTGTCTGACGACTTTGAGACGGTATTTCCTTTTATTTACATGCTGATGACCACAAAGAAGAAAACTTGTCGTCTTGTAGCTCTATCTACCACCTCAAGGAGCTATTTATTGTGCTGTATCATATGCCTGCTGCCAGCAGAATATCAGGGCAAATGTGAGATATCCTTAAAACATAAGGATACCCTTGGAGAAGTAACTAGCAAATCAACAATGAATAAACCATAGCAAGACATGAAAACAAAATCAGTTCATAGAGACAGAATAGCTCTTAGCTCCAATCAAAACAGCTGAGGTTTACCTTATAGGGGTACAGGTGAATCTTTCTAAGAGTAGAATGTGAACGTTTTAAAGCAATAACTGAGAAAATGACATGAAGGCTGTGTTGACCAGTTTGATGGAAGTATTTCAGATTGCATGTGAAAACCCCACACTGTACCCCAGAAGTGCATTAATGTACATAGTTACCATTCAATAAAAAAAAAAAAATAAAAATAAAACAGCATTCCTAGTACTTTGGGAGGGCAAGGCAAGAGGACTACTTAAGCTCAGCAGTTCAAGACCAGCCTGAGCAAGAGCAAGACCCTGTCTCTACCAAAAAATAAGAAAAATTAGCCAGGCGTTGTGGTGGGTGCCTGTAGCTCCAGCTACTCAGGAGGCTGACCCAGGAGAATTGCTTGAACCCAGGAGTTTGAGGTTTCTATAATGGCCACTGCATTCTAGACTGGGCAACAGAATGAGACTCTGTCAAACAAACAAATAAACAAATAAATAAATAAAGGAGTTGGTCAGCCCTGAAAGAGCAGAAAAAGAAACGCCTGCAAGCAAAATCCTTGGCAGGAGAAAAGAGGTGATTTAGCTACATAGACATTGAGTATTTCTGTTCCACTGGCAAAACTATGGCTTCCCCTCAGTGGGGCCGCAAATATTCTTAGCCAAGTACATTTTCACAGCTAATTCCTGATTCCTTGCCAAAAAACCTACTTATCATCTGGCTCCCCATATAGGCTCTGCCTGTAGGAATAGAATGTACCAGTTATGCTGACAGAAGTCTTGGAAGGCTTTACCATCATCGTTTTCACAACAAAGTAAGAAATTGGTCTTTGAGAGATGAATTATGCTGAGAAAATGAGACATCTGAGCCTATAAAGCTGAAGACCTGCTCTCAAGATCATAGTACTGGTGATAAAGGCTTCAAAATGCAAACTTTACCAACTTCACAATTTTACTAAGTTCAAGTCCTATATGTCTCTGAAGAAGCCACCCTTATCCTAGGATCCTCAATAATTATTGTTTGGCAGCTACATTTGCCCTTTATGGACACTGGGGAAAATGTATGTAGTTAAATGCCATAAAGTAGAACCATTATGGAAAAATCTCAGTTTTCTTATTATATTAGATATCACTCCAGTTAAAGGGCTGAGGAGTTTTATTACACAAAGATTATCTTAAAAGAATTTTTAAATTAAAAATATACATTAATATCTATCAAAATTACATCTAGATAAGAGGAATAAGTTCTAGTGGTCTATACTACTATCAGATGACTATAGTTAACAAGAGATATTACATAGTTTTGAATAGTTAGAAGGAAGATTAAACAACTCAAACACAAAGAAATAATGTTTGAGATGATGGATATGCTAATTACCCTGATCTGATTACTATACATTATATGCATTGAAACATCACTCCATGGATATGTACAATTATTATTTGTCAATTAAAAAATAAAATTATTAAAAAAACTTCAGTAGGGCGGTGCCTGTGGCTCAGTGAGTAGGGCACCAGCCCCATATACCGAGGGTGGTGGGTTCAAACCCGGCCTCAGGCAAACTGCAACAACAACATCAAAAGAAAAAAAAAATAGCCAGGACATTGTGGCGGATGCCTGTAGTCCCAGCTATTTGGGAGGCTGAGGCAAGAGAATAGCCTAAGCCCAAGAGCTGGAGGTTGCTGTGAGCTCTAACACCATGGCACTCTACCGAGGGTGACAAAGTGAGACTCTGTCTCTAACAACAACAACAACAATAAAAAAAACACTTCAGTATCTAAATCTGAACTTTATGTTTTAGGTATATAAATAATAAAATAAATTAGAAAAGAGACAGAGAGAGAAGGTTTTTTTTTAATTTTTTAAATCTCTTTCAAAGTTCAAGGTAAATAATATTAAATTGGCATGAATAAAGTAGAAACCCTGATATTCAGTGGCTGCCAAGTCAAGCATACCTCTCTCTATCAAACAAGGAACTAAATCCCTCCCAGCAGATCTTGTATGTGTGATGGCTTACACATGACTTCTGACTTTGGTGAATCATTCCGCTGGTAGCTGCAGTATAACATTGTGCTCCACCCTTCAGGGAATATGGCCTCCTTTGACAACTTATCAAAAATCAAAGCCAGAGTCCTGAACTGATCCCTCCCCCTCAGGACCAATGTTCACTTGGCTAGACCACACCTTTCTCAACTCCAGAATTCCTTTCTTAGAAGGAAAGGGCATCAGCATCAGCGTCTCGAGATGCCTGGCCCTTTAATTCATTTGCCTAATGAGACTTGCCTATCTCCTAATGATGAAAGATACCTAAAATCAGAAGCCAAATCCTTCTACTTGCCAGACTGAGGAACTGCAGGGTAGACATAAAGTTCATGTGCAATTTACTATGTTAAACTATTTTAAATTGCACATGAACTTTATGTCCACCCTGTGTAAGACATTGACAAAACAATAGTGGAGGGCAGCCATTTACACTAATGTTTTCTTTTTTAAAAATCTACAGGGCTGGGTGTGGTGGCTCATGTCTATAATTCTAGCATTCTGGGAGGTCAAGGCAGGGTAGGAGTTTTGCTTGAGCTCAGGAGTCCAAAACCAGCCTAAGTAAGAGCAAAAATATCTCTACCAAAAACAGACATTTTACTGGGAAAGCTGAGGCAGGAGGATTGCTTGAATCCAAGAATTTTAGGTTGCTGTAAGCTAGGCTGATGCCATGGCACTCTAGTGTGGGCAACAGAGTGAGACTCTGTCTCAGATTTAAAAAGTGGCAATTTCATATGGTTTACCCTAACAACAGTAATAATAAAAACTAACAATTTCCTGGCATTAACTCTGCATTATCAACTTCATATCCTTTAATGTACGTACCATCCATATGAAGTGGGAACTACTGTTACCCCCCTCACTCTACCCTGCATTTTACAAACAAGAAAATGGAAGCTCAGAGAGGTTAAGTGACTTGCCCAAAGTCTTACAGCTTAAAAGGGGAAGAGGCAAAATTTCAAACCCAATTCTACATGATTCTATTGCCTTCTAAAGTTACTTTTAACTCTAAGTTTCTGTAAGTACAGGAGGAATTAGTCCCATTTCTAGGCTAGAATATCAGTATGGCTACCTGATTGATCTTTGACAAGCTAATGAAAGAAACTTAAAAGGTAAAGTCCCCTCATGGTTTCAATTAGATCCTAAGGTGACCATAGGGTTTATACCCAGAGGCACTTCAAGATGTTTCCCTGAGTTCTGAACTACCAAAATAGCCACCTTGGACTCCTAAGGCCTTTTCTTACCAACAAGAGGAAGCCAACAGTATGTAAAGGAGAGTTTCACTGCTAGAAAAATCATAGGCCACCACAGGCTGGGTGTGGTGACTCACACTGGTAATCTTAGCACCCTGGGAAGCTGGGGCAGGATTGCTTGAGACCAGCGTGAGTAAGAGTTAGACTCTGTCTCTACAAAAAATAGAAAAATTAGCCCATGGCCCATGCCTATAGTTCCAGCTACTCCAGAGGCTGAGGCAGGAGGCCTGCATGAGCCCAGGAGTTTGAGGTTGCTGTGAGCTATGATGATACCTCAGCACTCTAGCCTTGGGCAACAAAAGGAGGCTCTGTCTCAAGAAAAAAAAAAGTATCATAGATTTCTTCATTCTGAAGACCTCTCTTAAAATGCAAATACCAGCCTCACATAGTGACTCACCCCCATAATCCCAGCACTCTGGGAGGCCGAGGTGGGCAAATTGCCTGAGCTCACAGGTTTGAGACCAGCCTGAACTAGAGTGAGACCTCATGTCTAAAAATAGCCGGGTGTTGTGGCAGGCGCCTATAGTCCCAGCTATTTGGGAGGCTGAGGCAAGAGGATCTGTTGAACCTAAGAGTTTGAGGCTGCTATGAGCTATGATGCCACAGCACTCTATCAGGGGGTAACAAAGTGAGACTCTGCCTCAAAAAATGAATGAATGAATGAATAAATAAATAAATAAATTGCAAATACCTCTGACTGGCCTCAAATTTTTACCAATTTATACCTGAACCACAATTTAACCCTGCAGCCAGACAGGGGAAAGGAAAGGCAGATCACCAAGTTTTCCTCCTCACTATTAAACTTTCACATGCATTATTTTCTTTGGCCCAGCAAGCCAGGGAAATGAGTAAGGCCACACTTTACATAGAAGGAAACTAAAGCTCAGAGAGGTTAAGTGACCTATCCCAGGTTACTGAGCCAGCTAAGAGTGACAAGTACCAACTAGAACCTAGTTCTCCTGATTCTTTGCCACCAAAGTTGCTTGAATCTGGTGATTCTGCAATTCACTGATTTAAGGTACTATTGCTAATAACTTTTCATTCTACCTCCTCAAAATCCAGGACAAATGCAACCCCAAACACCCTTCTGCATACGAACACATACATACTAAAGGAACATATAAAGATATGAAAGATCTGAATAAGATTATCATGAAGAACCTGAAATCATCCAAACCTATTAGCAAAAATTCACGTAAATCACTCAATTGCATCTGACAAGAAAGGCTGAACATTTTCCTCAGTCATCCTCTACTCAAACCCACCTGCCACTGAACATCTTCTTTTTTTACTTTCTACATGGTCACTTACTTTTATACCACATAGTTTTTGCATGTCTACCTATTCACCATTTGCAAGATGACAAATGTGAAAATTCCCTGAAAAATTAAAAGTGATTATATTGACACAAGAAAGGAAAGAATAGAGGAGCAAATGTTAATAATAACATAATTATCTGAAATTTTAAAAAAACAGAAAAAAAACAATAATATAATTATTTATTGAGTGCCAAATAGATAAAAACATCTAGTATTTTTCTATCAGAGCAATCTAAATGCATTTAACTGTCAAATAATTAGCAATTTTTTTTGTTTTTGAGATGGAGTTTATGTCACTCTTGGTAGAGTGCCATGGTGTTACAGATCACAGCAACCTGAAACTCTTGGGCTCAAGCTATTCTCTTGTCTCAGCCTCCCAAATAGCTGGGACTACAGGCACCCACCACAACACCCAGTTATTTTTTTTGGCAGTAGTTGTTATTGTTGCTTGGCAGGCCCAGGCTGGGTTTAAACCTGCCAGCTCCAGTGTATGTAGCTGGTGCCCTAGCTGCTGAATGACAGGCACGGAGCCTAATTAGCAAATATTTTAAGTGTTCAATTTTGTTAACAGTTGTTTCTATAATTTTCCCAAGTGAAATTTGATATGACATTGAATTTGGCTTATTCCCGGTTCACTTTATCTCATCAGTGTAATATGTTCCGGGAAACTTACCTTATCCTGTTTGTCGCCAAAATGACTAAGATACCATAGACTACAATTTGGGCTGGCTCCTTCGGGAGGATTCCACGTCCATATTATTGTGCAGAGGTTTTCAATAGAGACACTCAAGTTTGTCACAGGTGGTTGACTTTCTATTCAAATTAAGCACAAGAAATAAATTTATCAATACCACTTAGTATTTCAATGGTTCATTTAATCCATTCTCCCAATTCCTACAGGTAAAGAATAATAACAACTGAGTTAACATCTAACATTTACTGAGCCAGGCACAATTCTAAATATTCTATGCACATTAATCCATTTAGTTCTCACAAGAACCTCTAAGATAGGAACTACTATCAGCCTCATGTTAAAAATGAAGCTACTGGGCAACAGGGAGGTTAAGTCACTTGTCCCATATTCCCATAGTAAATGGCCAAGCTAGGATTACAACCTAGACAGTGTGGCTCCAAGGTCACATTCTTAACTATTTGCATAAAGAAGAGTTGTATATCTAAGTCACTCTCCTCCAGGAACTTGGGGTTCCTTACATGTGAGATCCACATCGTACTCAATACAGAAAGTTCAATCTCAGCAGTTCTCTAAGCTGAGAAAGTTCATCTATAATTGGGCTCACTAACATAACCTGGTAATTGTTTTTTTAATACTTTTTCCAAAGAAGTACTGAGAAAGAGATTTAGAAGCCCTTATTCCCCTGAGGTTTTACACTAAACAGCTGGAGATAGAGCTCTGAGTAATCTGAAGAAGGAAAGGAAAGAGGACAAACTATGAAACATCATTTCAAACTTTCCTGAGAACTTCTCTTGAGACCGAGACTATCGAAATCTTCCCCCGGAAACTGAGTTGTGAGGAATACAGAAACCTTCTGTCCTATCTTTGCAACTTTTCTGTAAATCAAAAATCACTCCAGAATGAAGTTTATTAAAGTTATTTTAAAGTAATACCCCCAAATTTTCTAATGTGGCAGACTGAATAATTAGTAATGCCTTATGGACCACAGTTATAGTAATTTGTCAAATACCAGAGTTAAATTTTATACTCTATGCTAACACTTTGGAGTGCACTCAGCCTCTTACACAATTGGCAATAATCCCCATTACCTTCCTCTCTAAGCAAAATCTTGCATTTGTCCCCAAACATTAACCCCACAGGCACTATGTACTTGGGGCTTCCCTAATAGTCAATTTTACATGTAGCAGCTGTAAAGGCCCTTGACCCTCAATATTCATTCCCTCTGTCCTAACTCTACTGCTGATAGCTTTTTCCAAGGCCCAGCTGTGTGAAGGAGCAGCCCAGAGCAGGACAAGCCTTCCTGGAAGCAAGGAATTCCTATCGCATGGCATGAAAACACAGCCAGTGCCAGGGAGCATCAATGGCTCAGCCAAAAAGAACTGTCATTAGGATTATAAGTGATTATAGGAGTATACGGCTAGCCCATTTTGGCCTTTCTAACATCACGCCAATAATATTTTTGAAGACAAATCATTTGCCAGGTAGAGAGCCTCTAATAAAAACTGTTCCTACTGGAGAATACAATCTACTTTAGGATTATCTGCCTTATTCAACAATTTCCTGAAAATGTTGTAGCAAAAATCCATAATACCTGGTTTAGCACTTCCTAATGCTCTAGCCACCCACCTCCCTCCCACTCTCACACAAAAAGTAAAGCTCTGATAATAAAAATATGGCCCATGTATGGTTCACTTCAATTGCACTCCAATTTTCAAGGTAATTTAAGACATTTTAAAACTTATTTTTTAACCTCAATTTTGATCTTTTATTTTTTTGAGACAGACAGAGTCTCACTTGTCACCCTTGGTAGAGTGCCCTAGCGTCACAGCTCACAGCAACCTCAAACTCTTGGGCTCAAGCATTTCTCTTGTCTCAGCCTCCCAAGTAGCTGGGACTACAGGCACCCATCACAACCCCTGGCTATTTTTAGAAACAGGGTCTCGCTCTTGGTCAGACTGGTCTTGAACCTGTGAGCTCAGGCAATCCACTCGCCTCAGCCTGGAGTATTAGGATTACAGGTGTGAGCCACTGCCCCTGGCCCAACCTCGGTTTTGAAATAGAACAATAGACTGCTCTATTTCCAGTCTCTAAAGTGTGATTAATTTTTTCACATCTATTTGGAAGTATCCTTCAGTCAGATCTTCAAATTAGTTTGCATTTTAGGTTACTTGGGGCTATCCGGCATCCTTTACTTTTTTCTATTGGTTCCCTCCATATCTCTTGAGATTTTTCTGGCTCCTATACTTTAAATTCATACACATTGATTCTCGGAAGATGGCAGAGCAGGTATTACCAGATATCGATCTCCCTACTTAGACGAGAATTGTATTGGCAGAATCTAACTAATGTAACTATTTTGGATCTCAGGAGTTCCTTTGTAACTTCAAAGGAAAGGCTTGAATGGTAAACTGGAATTAATTTTGATCAAATTTGGTCCATTTATAGAAACACAAAACCCACCAAAACTATATCATAAAGAAACAGAAAATCTGAATAGACCTGTAAGTAGTGAGAATGAATCAGTAATCAAAAATCTTCTGACAAAGAAAAGCCCTGGACCTGATGGCTTCACAGAGGAATTCTGCCAAACATTTAAAGAACTACTATCAATCTTTCTCAAACTTCCTCATTCTATGAGTCCTGCCTTACCTGATACCAAAGCCAAATAAAGATACTACAAGGAAACTATAGACCTATATTCCTTATGAGCACCGATCCACAAATCCTCAACAAAATACCAGCAAAGTGAATTTAGGAGAATATCAAAAGGATCATACATCATAACCAAGTGGAATTTATCCTGGACTACAAGAATGGTTTAACATACAAAAATTCATCAATGTATTATACCACCATGACAGAATAAAGGGAGAAAAAACTACATGATCGTCTTGATGCAGGAAAAGCATGACAAAATTCAGTATCTTTTCATGATAAAAAAACATTCAACAAACTAGAATATAAGAAAACTACTTTAAAAGTTCTATATGGGGGCGGCGCCTGTGGCTCAAAGGAGTAGGGCGCTGGCCCCATATGCTAAAGGTGGTAGGTTCAAACCCAGTCCTGGCCAAAAACTGCAAAAAAAAAAAAAATGTTCTATATGGAAAAACTTACAGCAACATCATAATTAATGGTGAAAGACAGACAGCTTTTTCCTCTAAGATCAGGAAGAAAATAAAAAAAAATCCTACCTTTGCATGGCGCCTGTGGCTCAGTGGGTAGGGTGCTGGCCCCATATACCGAGGGTGGTGGGTTCAAACCCAGCCCAGGCCAAACTTCAACAAAATATAGCCGGGCACTGTGGTGGGCACCTGTAGTTCCAGCTACTCAGGAGGCTGAGGCAAGAGAATTATAAGCCCAGGAGTTGGAAGTTGCTGTGAGCTGTGACACCACAGCACTCTACCAAGGGCTATAAAGTGAGACTCTGTCTCTACAGAAAAAAAAAATCCTACTTTTGACACTTCTATTCAACATGATACAGAAACTCCTAGCCAGAGCAATTAGACAAAAGAAAGAGATAAAATCTATCCAGATAGAAAGAGGTAGAATTATCTGTTTACAGATGATATAATATTTTATGATGATATAGTCTTATATATAGAAAACCTAATGACTCCACACAAAAGAACTGTTAGAGCTCATAAATAAATTCAGCCATAGATCAGGAGACAAAGTCAACAAACAAAAATCAGTTGCCTTTCTATAGGCTAGCAATAAATAGTGTGAAGAGGAAATTACAAAAACCACTTCATTTACTGTAGCATCAAAAAGAATAAAATACTTGGCAATTAACAAAGAAAGTGAAAAGTTTGTACATTGAAAACTACCAGGCTCGGTGCTTGTGGCTCAAGTGGCTAAGGCGCCAGCCACATACACCTAAGGTGGCGGGTTCTAATTCAGTCCGGGCCCACCAAACAACAATGATGGCTGCAACCAAAAAAAAAAAAAATAGGCATTGTGGTGGGCGCCAGTAGTCCCAGCTACTTCGGAGGCAGAGGCAAGAGACTCGCTTGAGCCCAGGAGTTGGAGGTTGCTGTGAGTTGTGATGCCACAGCACTCTACCCAGGGGGAGAGCTTGAGGCTCTGTCTTAAAAAAAGAAAAAAAGAAAACTACCAGACATTTCTGAAAGAAATTAAGTAAGCCATAAATAAATGGAAACACATGTGTTCATGTATTAGAAGACTTATTATTAATATTGTTAAGATGTCAATACTGTCCAAAGTGACCTACAAATTCAATGTAATCTCTATCAGAATTCCAGTGACATTGTTTTGCAGAAATAGAAAAACCCATCCTAAAAATGATATGAAATCTCAAAAGACACTAAATAGCCAAAGTCCTCTTGAAAAGGAAGAATACAGCTGTAGGACTCATGCTTCCTAATTTCAAACCTTAATACAAAGCGGCAGTAATCAAAATAGGGTGGTACTGGCATAAAGACATATAGAATGATGTCATGGGAATAAAACAGAGTGGCCCCAAATAAGTCATCACACATATGGTCAAATGATTTATGACCAGAGAGCCAAGACCACTTGAGGGGGAAAGGAAAGTTTTTTCAACAAATATTGTTGGGAAAACCAGACATCCACATGCAAAAGAGTTAAATTGGATCCTTATCTAACATCAAGTACAAAAATTAACTCAAAATGGATCAAAGACCAAAATATAAGACTAAAACTCTTAGAGCAGTGGTTCTCAACCTTCTTAATGCCACAGCCCTTTAATACAGTTCCTGTGGGTCTTGACCCACAGGTTGAGAACTGCTCTCTCAGAAGACAACATAAAACAATACCTTCCCAACCTTGGATTCAATAATAATTTCTTGAATATGACACCAACAGTACAGATAACAAAAAACCTAACAAACTGAACTTTATGAATTTTTTTTAATTTGTGTATCAAAAGACAATATCAACAGAGTAAAAAGGAACCACACAGAATGGAAGGAAATGTTTGTAAATCATATGTCTGATAAAGGATTAATATTAATATATACAGAATATCTAAAACTCAGCAATCAAAAAAGAAACAACCTCATTCAAAAATGGGTAAAAGGCTTAAATAGATATTTCTCCAAAGAAGATACACAATTGGCCAATAAGCACATGAAAATGTTCAACATCACTAATACTTAAGGAAATGCAAATCAAAACTGCAATAAAATACTATCTTGTACCCATTAAGAGGACAACTGTCAAAAACTAAAAACTAAGTGTTGGCGAGGATCCATAGAAGTTAGAACCTTTATGCAACTTGGTGGTTCCTCATGAAAATAGAATTACATATAATCTAGTAGTTCCACTTCTGTGCACACATCCAAAAGAACTGAAAAAGGTCTCAAAGAGATATTTCTACACCCATTTCATAACAGCATTATTCGCAATAGCTAAAACACAGAAGCAGCTTGAATGTCCATGGACAGATGAATAGGTAAGCAAAATGTTTTATATTCATAAAAGGGAATATTATTCAGGAAAAAAAACTGTGACATATATTAAAACATGGATGAACCTTGAGGAAAAAAAAATC